GCAGCGACAGCGAGGGTGAGGACCTTGAAAGAAAGAGTGTGAGGACGTCAGATTAAAGGTGCAGGCCTGTAAAACCTAAAAACAAAAATGTCAAGGATTTTTTTTTATCTAGACCCAGTTAAGTAGGTATACGGTCACCCTTCAACACCCCCAAGGTGGAACAAAATCGGGGACTAACACTTGTATGAGTCCCCTTATGCTTTGTGCCTGTCCTAAATTCCTATGAAAAACTAAACTAAATCTAACGGAGGGGTAGGCTACCCGCACGGCACCCATGTGGGGACGGTGGCCCGCCTTGACCCCGCGCTCTCGTTTGAATTTCTCATAGCAGTGAATCAAGATAACTCAACTGCAAACTGCAAAAAAACTGTCACCTCCCCTTCTTATTGAGATTTTGATTTTGTTGACTAACCTGTCGTCTTTTGCATTGCGTTCCGTGTTGTTTTCGATCTGGTTGACACCTATATTCCAATATCGAGAAAGCTGGGAGGAAATCGTTGTCTCAAAACTTTTTCTCTATGCACTTCACTCTAGACTCTAGGTTAATGTTCGTTATGCCTCCTGCACTTCCCGTTAAATGTTGATCTGCCAGGATTTTATTTTGAAAACTATACCGACATCATGACTCCTACTTCAGAAAAATCGGTTGAAAGGAAGTTTATATTTGAATTTTCTAATGTAACATCAGATGATAAGTACCACTTTGAAATTCCTGTCCACATTCCGTTTGTGGGAAATATTCAGGAGTTAGCCCAGAGATTAATAACATTGTTTAAAGTACCTGTTTATATTGAGAAAGGTTTGTATACAAAAACTGAAATTAGCATGATGATACCACTATAATTAAATAATCTTTTCTCTGTTACTAGATCTTGAAGCTGATCTGAAATCATTTGTAGATCAAGAAACACTTCATTTCCTTGACAACATTGCTTTGGATTCAATTAAAAGGGGCCAAAATGGTGAAGTTGATGTGGAAGACATTATTAAAAAGTTTGAGCGACTTTACAAAGATGTATGAGATTTTTGTTCTGATGTTTGCACCTTTATTATACAAGTGTCAACAGCAACTAATCTGTATATGACTTATCCTAAAGGAAACAGCAGAATATGCTGCACCAAGAGGGTCCACAGATGAGGAATTGTTTGCAACAGTGTACCATAAATTAGTCCATTCTCCGGCACTAGAGGCAATGTTACAAGTTGAACATTCATACTCAATTCATGTTAATGAAATGACAACACACAGAGACGATGAACTTGATGCTTTAACTGAGAGGTAAACTTTAAAACATTGTGTATTGATAAATGTTTTCAACATTCTTTCACTTTAAGCGTTATTGTTCATCAAACTACTTTTTCCACTCAGGCAAGGCAAGGAGATGTCTCATCTCGTCTCAGGGATTGGGGAGTTTAGCACAGAAGCTGAAGTCAACTCTTTGGCAGCACGTCATTGTGAGGATCAAAACATGATTCAAGCTAAGATCAACAGTCAAATTGATTCACTGCAAGAGACTCAGAGACGGGAATATCGAGAATGGTTGATGAAATTGTTGGAAGAACAAGCGGAAGAGGCATCTAGTGTTACCCCACCTACACCATCTCCAACACACATGTGAGTAAAGGCTCAGGAAAAACATTTTTAGAATGTAATCAATAGTTGCCTTCCAAGTTCTAATTTGTATTTTTATAATTGTTGGCTCTTGCAGTGTGCGCCTCATAACTAATGAGGCATCCTCAAAAGAAAAAAAGAAAGGTTCAAATGAGCTTGAGACTGAAGTACCTAGTAATCCTAGTATGGAGGAGAGCTTCACTATTCACCTTGGCTCTCAAATGAAACAGATGCACAACATCCGCATTATGTCTGCGGATGTCCTACACTTATGCAAAACTCACCTGTCTTCTAAAGGGTATGTTTCATATTTCAACCAGAAAGGATCATCCTTGCCTGAAAATTTAAAAAGTTCTAATCCTAATAGAATCTATCCTCTCTAGAGGCAAGCATATGCAACCACAACGACTGCAAACTGCTTTGGCACTCTACTCAAATGATTTGTGTGGTCTTGTTTTACTAACAGATGGTTTAATATCATCTTTTTCTGGAACTACTAAGGGTAAGAAGACACACATAAGTTTACTGAATCCCATCCACAGGCATGTCAAAAACTTACCAAACCACTACTTTTATTATCTATCTAGAGTTTATCAATGTTTGTCAGCAATCAACTGAATTCCATTTTCCCCCAATTGATGACCAACTGGAAAAGATTCGTGAAGGTGTCAAAGAAACTGCATCATGGAGACAAGAGCACTGGAGTGCTGAAAATTTGTTAATTTCAGGACAGCAGGTGACTTTACCACATAGTTCTTACTCTGGTTAACAGAAAATACTGTACCAATCACATTCAATTTGGAAAAAAATTGTATCTTACTGTTACAGTGGCGCCGAGCTTCTTGCTCTGGGGCATTGCGAACTGGAGATGTATATGTGACACGCCATTCCAATCTTAATGAGGTTCATGTTGTGTTTCACATGGTCATAGATGACTCCCTAAGATCAAGTGTGTAAAATACAACTATATTTCAAAACAATAGTCTCTTAAAAATAGTTCTGACTTTTCCAAATTCTATTCCCAGGTGATATTAACTCGAGGCACCCAGCAATATTAGGCCTTCGCAATGTATTGAAAATGGCTTGTAGTAATGATGTCACAACTCTTACTGTACCACTCCTCCTTGCTCACCACATGACAGAGGTTGGGAAGTTAAGAACATACAACGGTCTTTTTTGAAACTTGCAACTCCTAATTTTTATTTTATCAACCTCATTGTTCACAGGAAATGACTGTAGCCTGGTGTGCTAAGAGGGCAGAGCTAGTACTGAAATGTGTCAAAGGATTTATGATAGAAATGGCATCATGGGGAGGATCTGAGCTCAAGAATCTCCAATTTGTCGTACCGGAGGTAGCAATATTTTCTATTCTTAAAATGAATTTTTATTTCCATTCTGTTTTGTGTGACTTGTAATTTTTTTTTATTATTATAGTCGGCAGCGACAGCGAGGGTGAGGACCTTGAAAGAAAGAGTGTGAGGACGTCAGATTAAAGGTGCAGGCCTGTAAAACCTAAAAACAAAAATGTCAAGGATTTTTTTTTATCTAGACCCAGTTAAGTAGGTATACGGTCACC